GGGGCTGAGGGGCTGAGCAGTGGGACTCGGCCCCACAGCTACAAAACACAGTGAAAATGCTTGAGACAATAAGCAAACAGGAATTAGTGCAGAAGTGCCGTTTTTATAAGACAGAGCTTTCTATGAATCCAGAGCAGCCCCTTGCAGCCTAGGAGGAGCAGCTCGGTGCTGCTGATGGAATCGCTCTGATAACACAGAGAAAATGTGCTCTGTGCTGTCTCTCCGTGTCTCATCTTTTGGCTCCAGACTAAACATTTAATACGGCTTAGTCACATATTTCCTCGCTGCCATGGCAGCCAGTGCAGCCGGACCTGCGGGGGCTTGCTGTGCTGCGGCTGCCCGAGCTGCACGGCCACAGGCAGGCTGCAGCTCCCTCTGCTGCTCTGCTTGCCGGCCTCTGCACTGCTGCCATTTGAAGAGACTGGCAGTACACATTTATTTAACCTTTGCTCGACTTCAGGCTCAGAAAGCAGCTGTGCCAAAGCCAAGCCAGCCTTCCTCAGATCTGTGCTTTTGGAGGTGCCTGCTCCATTATCCCGGGGTGGCAGTTTGGGTGCCAGGCTCTGCACTGCTCCGTCGCAGCCAGCACATCCAGCTGTGATGCAGGGAGAGACAAGGGCATGGGGGTAGGCTTCTCCTTCAGCCTGGGGTTGATTTCTCTTTTAGAAGGAGAAAAAGAGGTCTGAATTGTGCTTCCAGAGTAAAAAATGGTCGTGTAGGGGCTTGTCACCTTGGTAGGGAAATCTGGAGACAGACAATTTCTAGGCTTGTCCGTTCCTTCACTTTCTGCCCTGAGCTCCAGCTCATGCCATCATGACTGCATGCTGGTGGCTAATGAAGGCCAGGTCTCTTCCCAAGCTGCAGCTCTGTGCTGGGCCATGCCTGAGACAGTGGTCCTTGGCCCATCTTGTTGCATGACAGGCACACGCCCAGGAGACTGAACGGTGCTTTTGCAGGTCTCCCCAAGCCTTGCCTCTTCCCAAAGGCTGCCCAGGAAGGTGGTAGGGTCACTGTCCCTGGAGGTGTTCAAGAGCCATGGAGATGTGGCACTGAGGGACGTGGGCAGTGGGCATGGTGCGGGTGGGCAGATGGTTGGACTAGGTGATCTTAGAGATCTTTTCCATCCTCATGATTCCATGACTCTATTCTATGACATATCTGCCACTCCTCTGGAGGGTGCTTCTGACTTGCAGAGGGCACATCCCGCTCCCCCAGCCATGGTGTGATCGTGGAGCCAGAAGGAAGCTCTGAGCAGCTGCGCTGCCCATGGAGCAAGGCAGCACCATTATGGGATGGAGGAGAGGAATGGGGCTGAGGAGGTCTGCCTGTGCCTCACTGCATCCCTGTATTTTCCTGAGCAGTTTTGGATTGGGCTTGAAGGAAAATAAAAAATAATTGTCCAAGTGCAGCAGCAGCCCTGGGTCAAGGAGAAAAGAGGGCTCAGGCCTGATTTTGATTCAGGTTTGGTTTGGGTGATTAAATCCAGGATAACCTCCCCTTGTGCCCTCCAGTTTCTGATCCAGCTGGGCTAAACAGCAATTTGACTAAATTACATTATTTGAACTCATTGTGCTGCATTCAACCTCATATTAAAATGCATGCTTTGGCTTGTAACTTTTAAATTTGATATGAAGACAGCTGTATGCATTTTCCCTTGTTTGTAAATTGTATACACATGATATGATGTTTTCAGTAAGCGCTAAACAATGCAATGTGAGGCATTTCAACAAAGGAATAATTTAATGCAACCCAGCAGAAACACAGAGCCTTAGAAGTGGTTCTTTATGAAACTACAAATTTTGGAAATGAGTCCAGAAGACCTACACTGGAGCAACACAAGGAACAATAGTTAAGACAGTAACATTTTTCTGTAAGAAAAATACACCATGAAGAAATTAGATTTTGCCTATTTTGTTTTAGCTTGCTGATTTACTTGAACGCCTTGGTTGGCATGCGTTCTGTTTGTTGCATGTTAGGGATTAAAATTCTCATTTCTTAACCAAAAGAGAATATTGTCATACAAGATGCACTTTAAGCCAAACAAGATTTTTTTTTTTGGTCAAGTGTAAATTTGTCTCGTGTATTATGTTCCAGTTCAAAGAAGATTAACACATTGTTGTATTCTTTTCATCTTCTATTTAATTTTATTTAACAGAACGAGACAAATTTTCTTTGTAATATTCTTCAGAGACAGGCAGTTCCTACTTTGACAGGTAGAGGACAGAGTAGGAGAGGGCTCTGTGGTTTGTTAGGGTCATTGATAGAGTCTGCCAAAGCTGGATTAGAATTGAAGAGCCCTTGGCTTCCTTTGTTCAGATCACAAGCTCAGATATATGCTCTTATGATGATCTCTGTCAGATTAAGGAACAGAGAGAGCATTTGTACCTCCCATTCAAGAAACTAGGGGGCAAAAACACTGTGCTAAGAGATGGCATGGAATAAATTGGAGCAGTAGATTGCTTCTGGAGAGAGTTGAATAGCTACTGAGGGAGCAGAGTAGCAAGGAGATAGAGAACAAGGCAGCACCAGGCAGAAGTGTCTGAACCAGTGCTGGAGCTAAAGGCCAAACAGGTACGTACCTCTCAGCAAGGCTCTGATGGCAGAGGGGTGTTTGAGCCCAGGGGAAAAGGAATATTTACAAAAACACTCCACCTAACAAAGCTGATTTATTTCCATGCCATGCTGATGTGGATTGTGTACCCTAAATATAAGCAGAAATGCAAAAGGCAGTTGCGTTGTGACCAAAGATAAGCTATCTGCAACTTTAGTAGGGTCTGTGTGTCCCCTTTAACAGACTGGAGGAGAACCAGTTCTGTGCCACCACTTCTCTGTGCTGTGGTCCCAGTAAGACCAACTGTGTAAGAAGCCACAGATTTTTCTTCTGCATACAGCGGCAGAAGTCACTGCAGGCTGCTTTTGTGAAGGCATCTGACGACCCTCACATGTGCCCATAAGTCCATTCTGTGGCTGGCCAGGCTGGGATGACCCCTGAGAAAATGGGAATAATGATCACCCACTGCTGATTTCCCTGGCAGAAGAGAGTGGCTGTGTTCAGATGTTAAGCAGACTGTGAGCTGGAGAAGAGAGCTGTCAAATACGTGAGGGAACTGATCCACGGTATGCATGCTGCAAACCCTTTGCTTTCTTCCTTGTGGGTGCCAGTATACATGGAAATGGTTGTGTTTGGGTGCATGTGCAGGTTCATGTAGCAACCACGAAAGGTGCAGAGTTCGCTCTTAATGTTTGTGCTTACTGTTTCTTCTCTCTTTTTCTCCAGTCGAAGACCACCCCCCTCACCTACTCGGCCCACTGTAATTCGTCCATTAGATTCATCCCTGTTAGACTAAATGAAGTTTCTGGCATGCCACTCATTGTTAACCAAATTTGTGGAAGCAAACTGCTTGATAACTGTTGCAATAACCAATGTATAGTCGCATGTATGGACGTCCATAGGCAAGTAACCAATTTTACTGATATATCTCTGTCCATTCTGCATTGTTTATGAGCTCTCAAATGTTTTGGGAAGGTCTGTGCTGTCTTGACTTTTCCTTCTGCAGTAGCTGATGTTAGCTAATGTACTGACACACGTGTTCACCCAGGCACCCGTGCTCACAATCCTATACAGTCAAAGGAAGACTTGAGTCTGTGTTTGTGCACGTGTTGATTTTAGCTGCTTCTTTTTCTCTTAACTGCCGAAATCTTGCTTTTATTTGTACCTTTCATGTTTTCTGTCACGTGGTGTTTTACAGTTGTGCCCACTTTCTATGTTAATGGCTAAACTGGGCAGAGAAAAGCGTGGTTTCTTATCAAGCTCTTCTGAAGGCCTCACGCTTTCATCTCTCTTGCAAGAAGCTTGCTGGAACGCTGCTTCTCCTATCATTTTTTCTGATCTGCAGCTAAGTTTATAAGGAATATTGCTAAACTAGAAGGATGTGTGTGAGACAGTGTGTGCTTCACTTTCCTTCCCCTCTGCTGATTGATAGCAGAGCTGGTTGGGTGGCAGGTAAGGAGCAGGCTGCAGCACCCCGGCTTGTAAGGTGTGGAGCTGGCTCACCCTGCAGCAAAGATTTGAGAAGGGCATTTTGAAGAGCCAGTGTGTGACAGAGCAGGCTGTGCCAGCTTGCTTTGTCCTCTGGTAGCGCTCTCTCACATCGGTCCTCCCACTGAACTCATGTGAAGCCTTGTGTGTAAGTGAGAGCATGTGATATGTATATATATGCTGCGTGGAAGGGTCCAGAGAACTGAGAGATGTATATATGTATAAATATATGCACAGCTGTAAATGGGCCCACTGTGGGAGCCAGTTCAGAGCTATGGCCTAGATCTGCATCTGGGCTTTTCCCAGGGATCCCATTTGGGTTTGAGATATTTGCTCACACCAGTCGATAAAGTTCCACAACGTCCACTAAGTATTTTCCCTTTGTGTCTCTTGACATTCTACTCACTTCAGATTAGGAATCATTGTATCCAAAAAGGTGCTGAGAAATGCTCAGCTGTGCATCCTGGCCGTGCATTTTTTTAGCAGATGTTCACTTTCAGAAGTTCTCTGCCTGTTTTACACTGTGTATTAATGTAATATAAAAACCTTTTGTCTTAACTGCGTTCCTTAACTTTAAACACTTAAGCTCAGCAACACCCCTGTAATTTAAAACTTCTTGAGTTGACAGGATTAAAACAGAGATGAAGTTGGCCTTGTGTAGTCAGAAAATATTAATTGCTGTTATTGCGATTATGGTTACAGATCCCTAGGCAAAGCGATTGGTGGTTTCAAAGTCCCCCACTATAATCAGTCTAATAAATTCACTTATTGAAGCTGTATGTAGGGCTCCAGTATGCTGCAGCCCCGTGGTTAGGAAGAATCCAATCAAGGAGCCACAACCAGTGGGGATTTTGCCTATTAAATATTCCCAGGCCGCTGATTGAATAACAGTTATGTTCACTACCAAAGCAAATCGTGTTTCTGCTTGTAGAAGAGAAACGAGTTTGGGAAAGCATCGTGATTTGTATGCTAGCTTGACTTTAATTTCCTGTCAACCACACACTTGTGACACACACCTGGGGAGCTGAGGTCAACATCTGAAGCACGGGGAAACTTGTCAGAGCACCGGCATCTCGGTGAGCTCAGAAGATTGCTTAAATGGCTGCTGTTTGTTTGGGGAGTAGGCTTAGATCCTCCACGCGGAGCACACAGAATCAGCTTTCAAGGATGAAAAGGTTGTAAAGTCAACCACATTGTTCCACCTCAGCCACAGAAAGTCACCTTAATCCCAAATGTTGGTATTCGTTCAGTGCTACGGCGAGCCCATGGGCTGTGTTCATCCCACTTTATCCTAAGCACTTGGCTGAGTTGTCCAAGGTCTCCCATTTGTTCTGTGGAAAGAAAAGGGATGACTCAGACTGGTGTAATTGCTTGGGAGATGAGGGTGGCAATGCCGGTAAGTTAGGAGCCTCAATTAAATGACGTAGGTTTTGACTTAAAAAGGTGTGCTTAAATCTTCTGTACTTGAGACTCCTTAATTTACTTTGTTGACCCTTTCTGTCAAGAGTAAGGAAATAGCATAGCTCAGTGCAGTGGCTTCAGTGTCAGCAGCAGTGCATTCTGCACTCAGTTTTGAGCTCATTTGAGGCTGCGCAGCCTTCCCATCCTCTACATCTCCATCACATCTAAATAAGAACCTGCTCCTGAAATACAGAGCTTTGAGACGTGTAAGCTAATAACTGGTGTTGAGCACAGATCCATAGATTGATGAATTCACCTCGAATGTATTGCATATACACTTTTTAGAATAAACTATAAAGAATTGTTCCTAGGAAACATGCTAATTGCTTCCCAAGAAATTGCCACTTGCAATTGACTACATACTCTCCTCCCTAGCTTTGACCCATTTTCCTCGTGCTGTACAGTGCCTGGAATGTGTTTGTTTGTCCTGCTGGCTCCTGATTCTGGTAAGCTGTGTCTCTCCCATCCCTTGTTCTCAGAGGAGCAAGTTGGCAGTAGCTTGCTCTGTGCCTGAAGGACAGGAGGAAGAGCTCACCAGTATATTCTCAGGGATCTGCTAGGGGGACCGGCTGGCTGGGACTGGCCCCGGCCCCTCTGCAGGTACCCTTACCCAGGGACAGCTGAGCCTGGGCTCCCATAACAGAGAAGCACGGGTTGCTCTCCATTTGTTTGATACCCTCAGGCAAAGGGAAGATTGCCAGGGAGCAGTGGAGACTCCCGTTAAGCAACAGCAGGGTTTGCAAGCTTAGTGAGCTGGATGACAAAGGCAGCAAAGCTTCAGGAAGGTGCTTATCTAGTTCTGCATGGAGGCTAAGCCTGGGCCTGTGCCCAGAGAACACATTCCACCTCACCTTCATATGGCTGACCAGCAGCTGAGGAGCTTGCTCACACTGTAAATAGCTCTTGGCCTTTAACGTCCAGGGATCTTGTGTTAGGATTAAAATGATTGTATGTTTGAAGAAAAGGCTTTTGTACATAGTTGATGTATGTTTGTTTTATTGCCGATCTCATTGCACTTTCTGAGTAAGCCTCATAAAAGTAGGTAATTATATTAAAGGAGATACTTTAGAGGTTATAGCATTTCATGTTGAAGTATAACGTAGAAAATATTATACTCTGTATTGCAGACAGCTACACTACATGATGTGTACAGCATATTAAGATTACTGCCTAGTTCTGTCTTTCTGTCTTAAAATAGTCCAAACCTCCTGAATTCTAAGCAGACCAATTTTGCACATGTGGCACTGGGGAGGCATCGACTCCTTGGTGTGCTCATGGCACACCTCCTCCCGCGGTGGCATTGAACCTCCTCCCCCAGGCTCTTGCAGAACAACTCCCTTGTGTAAATGAATGTTACTCTGCCTGTCTCTCCTCTTGCTTTGTCTGCAGGCGAGCTGATGCCGATGGCTCCTCCCGTCCAGACAGTCCTCCACTCTTGCTTGATATATGATTTGTCCCGTCTTGCTGGCCGTTTGCTTTACTTCCTGTCTCTTTACTTTTCCAGGATGGTGTAAACAATGACTTCTTTTTGTAAGAAGCAAACGCTTAATTTCTTACTGAATTTTGCTCTGTACGTTAATACCCTGCTTCATATGAACCAAAACATCTGCCTTTGGTTTCGTAGTCTGTAAATGGTATCTGGTGTTGATCTTTGAGCACAGCCAGTCGATTCTCGAAACCATGGTCATTACTGAGCATTGCATACACCTGCTGTAAACATGTTATGCTGCATTTCTGAACCTGAAATAAACTGTAACTCCTGATGGGCTTTTATTATTACTTTCTGATGCGCATGAGCGATCTCCAGTCTGGCACTCTGCACCCTGCCTCTGTTGGGACTGCGGTGAGGATTGACCAGAGAGGTGTGTGCTGCAGCTCAGATCATACACGTGTCGTGGAAGGGGCAGACAGAAGAGAAGCAGCCCATGGGAAGCTTTCAGCATGCAGCCCTGCTAAGGGCTTGCAGAGCTGCAGGGGTATTTTGCTAAGTGAATGTTTGTCAGGCAGTGCATGCTGTTTGTTTCATTGCTGGGAAAAGTGTGTCTGGGGGGAGATCGAAAGCTGAGTGCAGGGCCAGAGCAACTTCTCAGGAGTTGGAGTAAAATTGTGCATGTGGACATGTCCTGCCTGGAAAGGATTTCTCCCCATAGCGGTTGTATGTGCACATGCAGCTGCCTCAAAATGCCTTGATTACTCAGTTCCTCCTTCAGGTTAGTGTGAGCCAAGTAAGTGAAATTGGTGCTCAGAGATGATCTGCATGGCACAGTTATAACAGCACAACAGCAGGGGGCATTTCCCCACCACCCATCACTGTGCTGCTCCTCAAGTTTTGGGAAAGAGGGAACAAGAGGTGGGATGAGCAAAGCACTCACGTCCCCATTGTACTCACAGCAAATTTGGGAACCTTTTTTTTGTCATAGGCAGTCTGTGCAGCCTCCTTTGGTACACAGCCACGTCACGTGCATGTCTCTGCCTGCATTATGTTACATACTGCTGTGTGAGCTGCTTCCTGGCATGCTGGCCAGCAACACACAGGTGCTGTATGCTGGAAATGGGATGAGCAGCCACTCTCCTCCAACTGAGGCACTGAGGCACCCGCTGCCAGGGGTCACTCCTGCTCGTTTTGGCAGCAGATCCACGGCAGTGCCATCACCCAAGCTTCTAACTTCCTGAGCAATGAGCAATCCCCCCCCCTCCAGATACACGAGCACATAGATCCATCTTGTTTTATCACTCCTGATTTCATCAGAATCTCACTTGTAGAAGTGAGAACAGCGTTTGAAGCATATAGCAGTGCAAATTTTAAGGCTGGCTGGGGAAAGGCTCTTTTGGAGGATATTATTTCCTCCAAGAAAATTAGAAAGCCTCTGAGCAGCAACACACTTGCGATGCGATTGTCCAGTGTGATTGTTCAGTGTGATTGTCCCAGCTCTCTGGCGCCAGCACGTCAGATGGGAAGCGGTGAGGATGAAAGCTGAGGCTGTGCTGATAGCCAGCTGATCCTAATCTCGTTCTTGCTCTTTTCCTCACTGTGCATGTTCTGTGCCTTTTCCTCTTAACTCATTTTATTAAGATAATTTTGTATATGAGTCATTTTATTGTATCTTGAGCTTTTGTTTTAAATTTCTTCTCCCCCTCCCCACGAATTTTGGGTTATTTTTTGTCTTTTTCCTAGGCGACCTCCTCCAGCCGTTCCAGGAAGATCAGCCTAACACACACTTTGTTGTTGTTGTTGTTACATGCAGTCTGTCTTCTCTTTGTCCAAATTTATCTTTAATTTGCACTAGTCCATTTGTAAATGAAAGATTTTATTTTCAGATGTCAATGATAAGCTTGGATATAAAGAAAATAAAAGTTCTGGCTACAAAATGAATGTGTGCTGTTTTTCAATGGAAGGGTCTATCTTTCTCAAAAGGAGCCAGTAATGCTCCATGAAGCCTCAGCTCTGGGGAGACCCCCCACATCCGAGGTGTTGGAGGGAGGGATGTGCTGCTGGGATTCCGTCACTGTATCTGAATTCATTGACCACCATGACTGTTCTTGTAAATGCCTTTGACTTAGCATCAGCAGGAAGAACTTCCAACTTTTTGAATAGCAGAGATTGCAAAAGGCTCCTGTAAGATGTCTAATGCACCAGCAGCCCCTGACTCTGTGCTGAGTGAAAAACCTAAGAAGGTTGTAGCAGTCTCTCCACTGATGAATCTGCACAATTGTAAACACATTGCAGCTGCTCTGACCACTTTTTTCAAGCTAAACCTCTGAATTCTCTGCAAGCTAACCTCACTAGAGCATCTGAGCTCAAGTATCTGTAAGTAGTTCCCTCTGGATTTCAAGTAAGTTTGACCCAGTGGTGTTGAATGGAAGATAAAATCTGGAATTTAATATAATATTCAGAAGATGTTCTTGTCTTAGGTGCTAGAGAAGTATATAAAGAATAAGTCTTTAAAAAGTTTTAAATTGATGTTTTTATTGATTTATTTTTTTTCTCACATGAAAACAGTGAAGGGATATCTCACAAACAATACTGATAAATCAGAGGGAACTGCACAGACATGAACTGGAGGTACAGTGCAGCATCAGGATTCCAGCCTGTTCTTTGAAAGGTATGAACAAAACATTCCTTTATAGTAGGAAGGCTACAGTGAGAGCAAGCTGCTGCAGGGCCGCTCTGGGAGCAGACGAGCAGAGGAGATTTGTATCATGTGTAGAAGGAGCCTGACAACACACAGACTGTGCTCAGATTCAAGCCAGGTCTGACACTGCTTAGTTGGGGCTGATTTACCTTGCTGCATCTCTCATCAGTGGAACTTGCTGTCATCAGATAGTAGCTAAAAAGCCCTCAGCAGAGTTCAGGAGTACAGAAAGTGGCATTTGTAGCCGGCAGGCTGTTCAAGAGGCAAGAGGTTCTGGCCTTGTTTCACCTCCCAGGTAAGAGGGAATGGGACCAGATTGAATTTCACCAGCTACTTTTTTTTTTGTTGTTGTTCTTCTTTCTGGGTTGTTGAAGAATTTGTTCTGGCCTGGGGGCAACACTCACTGCTTTACCTCTATAGTATGGCAAGGTCCTGAGAGGGGAACAGGTAGAAAGTGGCTGATATTTTAATTCTAGAGCCTTATTATCTACAGCAACCCAGAAAGCGTTGCTGCTTTCCCGTCTGCCAGCCGGCATCAGTGCTGTAAGGCACAAAGTTCTCTGTTACGGGTGTTTTATAGTGTTAAATCGTTTACAGAAATGGTTACATTCTTCAGAAGTATTTATTAAAAATACTGTTGGAGATGGGACTCTGAACTTCATGGTTTTCAAGTAGCTCTTCTTAAAGTCTGCTGGGTACAGAAGGCATTGGTGATGAGTGCAGGAACTTTTGTGCTGGAAAACTTTGGCACATGCTTCGGTATCAGCTCACGGGGTGACTTTTTAAAGAAGCTGCTCAACCCTGTGCTGTTTTCATTCTGCACTGGCATATGCTCTGAGTATAGCTGGTGAAGGTGGAGGGTGCTATACCCCAGCTGGTGGCATTATGCATCCTAGGTTTTCTTAAAAGATGATTTCAGACCAAAAGCCAGTTTTGGTTTCCTGCTCACTCTGCTGCTGTGGCCTCCTCACAGCATGAACCTATATGATGTGCAGAGAAAAGCCTAGTGATTAGAGTGGGAACTGAAGAGATAAAAAGATCTTACCTTCAAAGACTAAAGCTTCACTGTTTCCAGGCTTCCCAGATGCTGTGCTCCCACGAGGAGGAGGGACAGAGGCCCCTGACAGCCTGTTGTGCCTGCTGTGGGTGGCTGACGCTTGCCTTTCCCTGCTGCAGATGCTGTAGATGGAGATTGCAGACGGCACGTGTCAGCGACTCCCCCAGGAGCACAGCTTAGCCCTGGTCAGTGTACAATTACTTGCATTTGGGCCAGGTTCAAATCAAAAGAAAATGTCCTGCTGAGATACTGTATCTCAGTGGACTTGGGAATGGCAACTTTAGATAAAGGAACTGCACTTTCTTGTGGTGCAAACTAATGTTTAACTCTTCAGAGTTGCTTGATGGTGATCCAGTCGCATGCAAACCAAGATGGACCTATTTCTCTGTTTGGCCAAACCAGAGAGCTGTACACTCAGGTAGCAAGTGCTAAAAGGGCATGTAATTTTACTGATGAGTTGAACAGTAAGTTGAGATCGTTATGTTCTGTACAACATATTCTGATCTCAGGCATAAGGACATATTTATTGTAGCCATTTATTCCAGCAGTGTAGGTAAAGTGTGCAGGGCTGAAGGAGCTGGGCAGAGCAAAGAGGCCTGTGGCAACTTAAGGAGGTAAAACTGCTTGCAGCGAGCTGTACAAGACAAATCCTGCATCCTGCCTGGAGCAAGGAAGGTGTGGTGTGCTGGATCAAACAAAGCCCAGGGATCTGGCCCAAATGCAAGTAATTTTAAACTGCCAGAGATAAGCCCATTGGGTTTCAGCTGTGATTGAGGTGACCATGGCACAGATACCACATGCCACAGCTGGCCTCCACTTGCCCAACAGGTCTCCATCAGCTTGAGGCAGTATCTCCTCCTCCTCCTGGACATGACCATTCCACATCAGAGCAGGGAACCTGAATGTCCCAGCATGTGGATTGCTGTGCACCGAGCAGCACTGGGACAGCAGCTCCAGACAAGCAGAGAGCTCCAGTGAAGGTAAGAGCACAGCCTCTGGATCACTCTCAGGATCTGAGATGAAGTTTTGTTGGGGTAGCAACAGAGAGACGCTGCTTCTCTGTTCCTCCATGTGTTTCTAGTTCCCTTATTGCCCGGAGCCATGATAATCAGTGCCCATTGCCACATGGAATCATAACTGGATGAGCGATGTTTGCACTTTTCCTAACACAAAGCTGTTTAAGAGTCTGGATTTGAGAAGAGTATTTTTTTAGAAAACATTTCACTTTGGGTGAATGGGTCTAGCAGAAACTATACTTTCTTGTAGTCAGAAGTCCAGGCTCAAAAAAAAAAACTCCAAGGCTACCTTGCCCCAGTCGCATTAGCCTAACGAACCACCAGATCACTGGTGCCTCCTTGGGCCACTGACAAGGGACAGCTGCCTCCTCAGCCTCACGTGCTGTGCCTGAGATGAAACAACTCCTATACACACTCCATTTTGTCACCGTTAGCCTGGATACTGCATATTCAAAATGGAGTCAGGGCTGTGCTACATCTGAGATGCACCAGCAGTTGGTAAATGCAAAGGTTTAGGATGGCAGTTAACAACAGTTTGAGGACAGAGGTATTTGTGCAGCAGCAATTTCAAGTAAACCTGACTGCAGAGAGCATGGCCCTACCAAGAGAGACATTAACTGCAGGAGCCAAGAAAGCTACATTTCATTTGCTTCTTTGACAAACTGTTACTTGCCTTCTTAAATTTGATCCAAGCATACCAAAGCCTTGTCCAGAGATGGATTCTGTGAATTGCCGTGGATGGCAGTGTTACAGCAGCATGAGTCTGATAGACTGGGGCATCCTGGCCACCAGCAACTGACTGACTTTCTTGGAAACCTCCTCATGAAGAAATAATCTTCTTTTAGAAGAACTGAAGACTGTCATCTTGATTGTGAGCATCTGGCTACTCTGCACTCCCTGTGAGCCTGGAGCACATACTCTAAACCTCTGCAGGTTTTCTTTAATTAAAAACAAAATTAGATGTAGTCATCTCCATGACAACAACAGCAACATTTAAAACTTGGCAAGTTGTTGTAACAAAGCACTGGAGTTGTTGGGGGCTCTGCAGTGGGCTGCTCATTTCCTAAGAAGCTCATGGAGCCAGCGCCTGCTTGCTGGGATGAGACAGCAGTGCTCTGAGCTGTTAGCCTGCAAAAGCCCTTCACACTCAATGGATTCAATCAATAGGTTCAAACCTGCACTTCTGCAGCAGAAGCGCTCCTCGCCCCTGTAATCTTCCACCACCCCTGCGCGTGCATGCAAAGCTGGTGCCACATCTTACTGGGGAAATTGGGTGTTTTAAACATCTCCTTGTGCTGCCTCCAGAGTAGGAGGGTTCTGACTCTGTCTTTTACTTTGAAAGGAGCAGTGCTTCCTCTCATCTTAATGCTAGGGGTAAATACTGCAGGAACAAGCAGCTGTGGTCCCACAGTCTGCAGAGGTGCAGACTGTGTATTTGCTGATGGACATGGCAGTGTGGCTGTGCATGCAGGATGTGTGAGTGTACTCAGGCCTGTGTGTGCCCCTGTGCTTTCGGCTTCCTGCCCAGCATGAAGAAGGGTCTGGTAACAGGAAGCCTAGAATGCTATTCCTATTGCCAAGTCCATGCTCTGCTGGACCACTTGCCTCTGGAAAACAACAACACAGGGCTGGCTCATACGGAGATGCCCTCCAGTTTGACTTTTTTGCTTAGAAGACCCTCTGCTGTGAGGTGTGTGGAGTCAGACACCAGACATGTAAGTGCCAGGAAGGACTAGCGGATGTCCCATCACTGCTGCAGCACCCTGGGGCTGGGCTGGATGGCCACTGGGTGCCCACTGCTGGGACTACATCCCTCCACAGGAAAGCAGAGAGACCTTGCTTCATGCCTCTGGCTCGGTGGTTGGACAAAAATACTGCCATGGGTCTGCCAGCACCTCCCCGCTCACCCACAGCCCAGAGCAGTCACAGCACACACACATGCAGTCCCTGCTGTAGTGCGAGTCTTTATTGGGTTGGGTGTCCCCTTGGAGCTGTGCCCCAAAAAGGCCCCTCAAAGCAGAGGGCACCGCTTCCCCCCTACATGAGGAACCTGGAGAGGTCCTCCTTGATTTCAGCCTCATCCCACGGCCCGTGGATGTTGTCCTTGAGCTGCTGAAGCCGGATGAGGCAGTAAGGGCAGAGGCAGGAAACGGAGAGCAGCAGCGAGGCAAAGAGCACAGCACCCACACTGGAGATGCTCGCCAGCCCCACAAGGGCAACCAACGCGAACAGCGCGGTCACCCCCACATAGCAGTATGGCGTCCGGGCCTTCAGCTTCTTCTGCAGCATGGGCCAGAGGGCAAAGATCTGCATTGCGAAGGTGACCATGACGAAGGCGTGGAGGGAGCGAGGCAGACGAGAGGCCAGGCACACCGAGGCGAAGATGGCCATGTTGAGGGACAGCGTGCTGGACACGATGGCGGCGTTGGCGCCGTAGTCGAAGAAGATGAGGTGGCCGAGGAGCATGAAGGCCGACATGGCATAGATGGTGTCCGTGCTGATGGACTCCGTCAGTGTCTTCAGTACCGGTGAGAAGCCGTAGGTGAAGGCGGTGAACACCAGCGTGCTCTTCAGGTCTGCCCACCGTGTCCGCCCGCTCTGCTGCCGCCCGACCCCGGCGTCAACGGCATCAAAGAGGACATAGCCAAGCAGAGAAGTGAGCAGGGCTGCCCCAAACAGCCCCTGCGGGCTCAGCACCCCGGCGTCCATGTACCACCACGTTACAACAAAGACACACACGCTGCAGAGCTGCTGCACCACCACCCCCGACTCGAAGACCACGTTCCAGTACTGGTACTGGCGGGCGTGGATGTTCTTCCGCAGCTCCTCCAGGAACCGCTGGTCCACGTAGTTATCGGGGAAGGGCTGCCGCTCGTACAGCACCTTCTGCCAGCACCGCCTCGGGCTCGTCTCCACCTGCGCGCAGACCATCCTCCCACGGGCTGCCCCAGAGGAGGCCTGCACGCGGCTCCGCTCCTCTCCTCCGCTCACAACCTGACGATGCTCTCAGAGACCTGGGAAAGAGCAGGGTACGGGTTAACCGTCACGTAAGGTCCCCCCTTGGGCTGCGGGACGGCCACGGGACTCGGGCAGCCCGCCAGGGACAAAAGGCAGCCAGCGAGCAAGAGCGGCTGCGCATCCCTCCTCCCTCCGAGCCAGCGATCCATTCCGCCGGCCCGCCCTGCTCCAGCCGCGAGGACGGCGCTCACCCCCCTCCCCGCCCGCCCGGCTACACCGCACCGCGGCTCCGCGGCTCCCTCCGGACGCCGTCGCCTCCGCCGGGCCCGGCGCGGCGCAAGGGACGCCGGGGCGCTCGGAGGCGCCCCCTGGCGGAGGAGCCCGGCCGCCGAGCGGGTGTCCGCTGCCCCCGGAGCTGGGCGGTGCTGGAGCCGGGCCGGAAGGGAGAAGGGCCGGGAGGGGCGGTGTGCAGGGGATGCTCATCGCCTGTTGGAGGCGATCGTAATCAACTTGGTAACTGTGGATAAATGAAATCGCTTACAAGCTTAGTTAGCGGCTTGGACTTTTTTTATTTTTTATTCTTTGCCAGAGCCTTCTCCCAGGTGCTGCGATCCCACGGCCTGGGGATTTGAGAGTTTGAAAGAAGCCGCGTTCCGCAGTGGCAGAAGAAAGGTGTGCCAGGGGGTGGACGCGGTGGGCCGGGGGCGATGGGCACCCCTGCCAGCCCATCCTGCACTGACGCTGCTTTCTGCTCACGTTCCAGGCTCTCGGCTCACCACCCACTGACTCCTGCAGCTGCGTCACAGCAGGCTTGGGTGCCTTCTCCTGAGACTGCTGTGAGTGACTGCAGTGCCTCGGGAATGTGAACACAGGGCACCTATTGCTGCCACTGCACTCGCATCCCTCTGGAAAACTCTCCACCCGCGGTCTAAAGGGCAGCTCAGCCCTCCAGGTGGCCCAGACTCTGTCTGCAGGGAATGAGTCACCTGCCTGCACAGCAGTCCTGCACCTATGACTATGGGACAAGCCACGTCACCGGCTGTCCCTGCCAGTCGGAGGGAGCACGTGCTGTGGAGTCACCCCTCAGCCTTCCCACGGCAACGTGGACTTGGCAGGCAGAGCAGAGCAGCTGGGAGAAGGACGTTCCTGTCACACCCCGAGTGGTGCCTAAGGTCAAGGATGCAAAA